AAAAATAATTTTCTACTGTTGTCTCTTGTGATTCGCTTATCCATAGAATATCTGACAGCCATTTTTCCGTATTTTGCGCACACACACACACACAAACACACACAGACAACCATTTTGTAAGACCCTAGACTAAAGTCAAGGGAAAAATTCTGCGATATTTTTTTTTTTTCGTTCAAAGGATGAGAGGCGATAAGGATATTTTCATCTTTCCATATCTGAGTACAAAATTTTGTGCTTAATCAGCATTACTATTTGGATCTTTTTATAAAAGATAGGTATACACAAAAATTCTAGCTGAGTTTAAGACGTTCAAGAGGGAAAAACTTCATCGTTCAACCGGGCGTTCAAAATAGTGGTGGTAAAAATAGCAATGGGAGCTCGGTAAAAATAATTTTATTATCATTACCGGATAACAGAAGATGAAACTTTACGGCGATAAACCCACCATTGACCCACTACGCTTGAAATCCTATATAATATAGGGCACGTTTTAAGCTGTATTATGGTCGATCGGTTGCTTTTCCTCCCTTCTTATGTTCTTCAATTATTCCCTAACTATTTCTCATCTTCGCCGCTACTGCAGAACATTTCCAATATATAATTTTAAATTTATTACAACAGAATTAAAATTTCATTTTGTACTCAGTAGCATGAAGACATAAATACTACTTGACACAATTAATATTATCATATTCTGTCTGTTATTGAATACAACATATATTTATTGCCCAGCTCTACTTAAGTTTTTTTGTTTTAGCGTTATTATTTTACCTTTTTTCTGTTGAATGTTAAACCTTTGATTTTTAGTTTTGAATGTTAAAATTTTGATCGTTTTAAACAGAAAAATGATCCGAGTGACCTCTTGTAAACTTAGGTTGGGGGTTATAATACAGATTTACAGGGTTATAATACAGATCAGTCTAAGACATACTGGGTAAAAGACAGAAATAAACTTTTTCTTATTTTATTCGTCGTATATCATCGATATTCTCCGCCTGCTGTCCACGATGTTTCTTTAATTCTCAGTTGAACATTATCGCTGTCACAATGGGGTACCGAAGAAGAAATGGATACTATACAATGATTCTTTTCTACTTCTCGTCTGATTAAACACATAGGCAATACAGAGCGACAATCATATTTAATAGAAGTTCAACACATCCTAAACCTATGAGACTTATAGTTTCAATGCGCAGTGGCTCAACGATGACCAAACATTTAACAAAAGTTTTACGAAAATTAGGAGACAAAGTGAGATCGTTAAAAAACACAAAACATTTAATAGAAGATATTTATAAAGTTAAAGTCGTCAGTCCAAAAATGAGTTTAGCTAGTTTAGATGTAGTTGATTTATTTACATCGATAGATCGAAACGACGCGATAGGAATATTATCAGAAAAATTAAAACAAGATATAAGTTGGAAAGCAGATACAAGTTTAAATGAAGATACCATCATCAACATGGTAAAATTTTTAACAGATAATGTTTATTTTCAATTCGGGGAACATTATTATCAACAAAAACATGGGCTTCCCATGGGGTTTTCTCTTTCACCGCTATTAGCAGATATTGTACTTAGCGATTTCATAGAGAAATATTGGGACAGGGCGCGTTTTCCATTTGCCTATTTCGGACGATATGTTGATGATGGGCTCCTCATTTCGGAGTTAAGTGAAGATCAAGTAAAAGAATTAGTTGAGGATTTGAACAGTAAAACGACAAATTTAAAATTTACATTCGAATTCGAGAAAAATAATCAATTACCATTTTTGGATGTTTTAATAGCAATTGACAAAATAAACAAAAAATTTACAACCAGCTGGTTTCGAAAAGAAACAGCATCAAATTACCTTTTGAATTTTCATTCGAATCACAATTCAGCAATCAAAAATAATATCGTTAAAAATATGACAAATCGTGTTTTAGTAGCCAACAATGGCCACAAAAATGAAAAAGATTTAAATGATTTGCAAAA